CGGAGGAGACACAGGAGGGGAACGAGGAGGAAGACGGGCCGGAGACGAGTCTGGCGGCGGGAACACAGGACCGTAGACAGGGAGGTCAGGAGGCGGTGGGGGAGACACCGGCGCGCGGTCCGGGGAGGGAAGGCCGAGCAGGCGGAGAGCGGAAACCGGCGGCGACGGCTGCTGCGGCGGCGACGACGGCTGGGCCGGAACTCTCGGACCAGCAGAGGCAGAACGACCGTCGGCAGAACACTCAACAGCAGCACCCCCAGAACCAACACCCCCAGAGCGAGAACCCCCTCCAACACCAGCGGCACCCCCAGAAGCCGCAGGACGAACACCCTCCTCCACACCAGCACCCCCAGGGGCCGAGAGCAGCGGCGGCAGTGGCGGCAACGGCTGCGGCGGCGGCGACAGCGGCGACGGCTGCGGCAGCGACAGCGGCGGCGGCGGCGACGACAGCGGCGACGGCTGCGGCGGCGACGGCGACGGCGGCGGCAGCGGGGTCGGCGACTGCGACAGTGGGGGCGGAGGCACCGGGGAAGGGGGACGCGGCAAGGACGGACCGGGGGTACCACCAGAGTCAGCAGACTCCTCAACGGGGACAACCGACGGGAGGGGAGTGACGTGGGAGACACCAGACGGGGCAGGACGAGGCGGGAGAGGGGCAGGGGCTACCGGGGGAGAGGGAGCAAGGAAAAGGGGGGGGGCAACTGGGAGACCTCGGTGAGGGAAGCGGCGGTAGAAGGAGATGGACTCATCAAAGGTGACGTCACGAGAGTGGAGGAAGCGGTGAGACGGCGGATGGTAGAAAAGCCAGTCAGACGAGTCCAGGGGGAAACCGAGGAAGACACTGGGGACAGTGCGGGCAGTGAGCTTGTCTGTGCCAGAGGCACGAACGTGAGCAAGGCAGCCCCAGACGTGGAACGCAGACGCGTCACCGGGGGACCCGGTCCAAAGGAGGGTCGGCGAAACCTGCGGCCGCTGGGAGCGTGGCCACAGGTTAAGCTGGTGAGCCGCGTAGCGAACAGCGAACGGCCACAGAAAATGGGGGGCATCGGCATGGATCATGGAGGTACGGGCGACCTCCATGACCAAGCCGATGCGGCGCTCAGCAACCCCATTCTGCTGTGGCGAGTCCGGCAACGTGTACGACTGGGTGATGCCCTCCGCACGACAGAACTGTCCAAGCCGACCAGAGGCGAACTCGCCGCCACGGTCGGAGTGGAGACACAACACGGGGAGACCGCGGTGGAGACGCGCAGCCACAACCCACGGGAGAAGAACGTCGGGCACGTCGGCCTTCCGCTCCAGGGGAAACACCGTGGTGTAGCGCGTGTAGTCGTCGACAAGCACAAGGAAGTAGCGCTCACCGCGCGGTCCGGGGACGGGGGCAGGGCCCCAAACGTCCAAGTGCAGGGTCTGAAGGGGGGCAGTAGCAGGACGCAGCGAGGAGGAGTGAGGAGCACGGCGGAGCCGACCCTCGACGCAAGGCGTGCACGGTGGCGCAGTCGAGGGAGGAAGGGCAGGGAGCGACGCGGGGAGACCTAAGACAAGACCGTGCTGGGACATGTGACGCAGACGCGGGAGAGCAGGGTGACCTAAGCGGTGGTGCCAGAGAAGGGAGGGGTGAGTGAGGGACCGACACGAGCAAGCTGCAGCGACCTGGGAGGACGCACCAACCGGGGGGGAAGCGGTGTGTAGGGTAAACAGACCGGACACCGGGTCCCGGGGGAACGTCGCAAGGGGGGAACCTGAGACAGCCTCAGAACAGACAGCGAACCGCTCGTGCCCGGGGAACGTGGTGGTGACGCCGAGGTCCTGGAGACAGCCGACACCAACCAGGTTCCTGGAGAACGAGGGAACGTGGAGGCCAGTAAGGGAGCCCGAGGGAACTGCCGGACAGGGAAGGGACGTAGAACTGCGCGCGACGACCGGACCCGCAGAGGGGTCAGCGAGAGAGACAACAGCAGGTGCAGCAAGCGGCGTGAGCGTGGAACGGTCGCGGAAGAAGCAGGCAGAAGCACCAGAGTCGAGAGTGAAGGACAGCGACGCAGTGGCGGGGGCCGGGGACGGAGCCGGTGCAGCGACTAGACTAGGCAACCTAGGCAGTCCTACGCCTGTCGCAGCAGGGGAAGCTAAGCTACACAAGGGTGAAACACCTAAACTAGAGTACACAGGGTAGTAAGATCCATCAACACTAGAAGCGTCAGCATACAAAGCATGCAAAGCAGCACCTATCTGATCCATGTCTAACTCAAAGATCGGCACGCCCTGGCGGAGCAGGCTGTGCCAGTCAGGGAGGTCCGGGGCCGGGCCAAAGCGACGACGAAAAAGATCGTCGAGGCGGCGGAAACAGCGGGCGGTCGGGTGCGGGCGGCGGCACAGAGTGCCGCGGAGAGGCCCGGTCTGAAGCTGGTACTGGCAGGTCACAGCACTGGAGCCGCTGGTAGACGCCAAGCTGCGCGGGCCGCCACCACGGCCACCGCCTCCGGAGGTGCCGGGCCAACCAGGCGGGAGACGAGCCCACGGCTGCGGCGGGTGCTGCTGGGACGGCGGCTGCGGCTGGGGCTGGTCCTGCTGCTGCTGGGACTGCTGCTCCTGCCCACCGGTGGTAGTCCCCTCAGGCGGACTACCGTCACCACCACCACGACCACTACCACCTGCGTCACCACCCCTACCTCCCTGGCGGCCACGGCCACCGCGACGCGAGCGCTGCTGCGGGTGGACAGCAGCAGCCGTCTCGGTAAGAGGGGTCGCCGTGGCGACCGCAGCCGAAACGTCAGTGAACGTGCACGGGGATGGGGCACAGCCGTGAAAGATAGAGACTGGCGGCGCACCGCTCGACTGAGCGATAGTGCGCTGGCGAGTCTCGATCTCAGTGAGGGTGTCGACAAAGGCGGTCAGGGTGAGGTCACCCGGGTGCTGGCTAAGAAAGTGGTCGCGAGCACTAGCGAGGCGGTCTGGCAGGCGCATAGCGATAAAATAGAGCGTCATGCAGAAAGGAGGGGGGAGCGCAGTGAGCTGGGCAGCAGTGCTGGCAGTGCGATAGCGAGTCTCTAGGGCACGCAAATGAGTGGCAAAATCTGCGACAGTAGGGAAGGCAGCCAGGTCTGGGAACAGCATCGGAAAGAGCAAGCGGCCAGCAGAAGCGGAGGCAGGGGTGGAATAGCGAGCAATAACGGCGTCTAAATAAGCTTTGGCCGTTTCAACAGTAGCAAAACGCGAGCGCTCAGACACAGGGAGGGCGTGACTAATAGCAACCTGAGCTACTGCATCGCGTGAGTCCCAGATCGCACAGGCCAGCGCAGCAGTAGAGAAAGCCTCACGGTCATCAGAGGAGGGGTCAGCAGGGAGGGGAGTAGGTGCAGGGGGACGGGGGAGCAAGCCATCAGCATGGACAACCAGAGAGTGGCCATCCTGGCGCTGACCTGTAAGCTGGCGGCGAAGATCGGAGAGCCAGGCGGCGAAGTCAACCGCGTGGCCCTCAGCGTCCAGGCGGAGCACAAAGTCAGCCATCGTGCAGGGTCAGCGGCACAGCTCCTCAGCGACACAGCGGCACAGCAGCACAGCTCCTCAGCGGCACAGGAGCACAGCGGCGCGGGGACACGGCGGCAGCACTCTCCAGTAGGGCAGCAGCTAGGCGTCCCAGCGCAGGCAAGCAGAAGACACAGGGCCCGAGAGGACACGGCAGGCCGAGCAGGGGAGGCGGGCAGGTGCTCTGGGGCCGGGCTGGTGCTGGGAGGGGCCAGGCTGGTGCTGCTGGGGCCGGTCGGGCACGAGGAGGGGCCGGGCAGCGCTGAGGAGAGGCCGGGCGGCGCTAGGAAGGGGCCGGGCGGCACTAGGAGGAGGCCGGGCGGCACTAGGAGGAGGCCGAGCGGCACTAGGAGGAGGCCAGGCGGGCGAGCGCTAACAGCAGGCGCGACAGGGGCCAGCGGGCGCGACGGGGCCTAAGGGGCGCGACGGGGCCCAGCGGGCACGACGGGGCCCAGGGGGGGCGCGACGGGGCCGAGGAGGCGCGACGGGGACCAGCGGGCACGACGGGGCCCAGGGGGGGCCGCGACGGGGCCTAACGGGCGCGACGGGGCCCAGGGGGGGCGCGACGGGGCCTAGGAAGCGCGAAGGGGCCCAGCGGGCGCGACGGGGCCTAGGAGGGGCGCGACGGGGCCGAACGGGCGCGACGGGGCCCAGAGGGGGGGGACGCGACGGGGCTTAGGAGGCGCGACGATGCCTAGGAGGCACGACGGGGCTCAGCGGGCTCGACGGGGCCCATGGGGGGCGCGACGGGGCCTAGGAGGCGCAACGGGGCCCAGCGGGGGCGCGTTAGGGCCTAGGGGTCGCGACGGGACCCAGCGGGCGCGACGGGGCCTAGGGGGAGCGCGACGGGGCCTAGGAGGCGCGACGGGGCCCAGCGGGCACGACGGGGCCCAGGGGGGGCGCGACGGGGCCTAACGAGCGCGACGGGGCCTAACGAGCGCGACGGGGCCCAGGGGGGGCGCGACGGGGCCTAGGGGGCGCGACGGGGCCTAGGAGGCGCGACGGGCGGAAGCGGTAGGCGGGGGGATCCTAACCTAAGCGTGATACCATGTTAACGTAGAAACGAATGATTACTAGAGGTGGAAACCTAGAACAAATACTAGTTGGTTGTACTCACTAGAAGCATACCTCAGTCTAGCCTATAACTTCTACATAGATAATATGTATAAGTTGACATATGCTCCTACCCCAAAGAGGTGACATATGCTTGTCTCCCTTGCCACAGAAATTTTTGTTGCTATAACGCCCACAACTTCCCATGCATCTAGAACTGCAGTACTGAGCAAATGTTCTCCAATTTGTACATCTGGTACAGTAGGAAACGCAATATTTATTGAAAGCACTACATCACTCAGATGCAATAATACATACGTACAAAACATTTCTATTGTAGGGAGCACCCTGCAGCCAGTCGAGCCTAAATATGGGTTGTTGCCATATTTGGGGCTGTTATCTGCAAACCTCGTCCTACCACAAGGTATAAGCTAAGCGACCGCTGGCAGCGGAAGCTATTCCTGCTTGAGAGAGAAAAGCGGTTTCCCGAGATACATGATCTCACGATTGACCATGCCGTTGAACAGCACCGCGAAGGACGCATACCAAGCTGCAGGAATACGAATGGACGAACGAAACGAAACGAAGTCAGCAAGGGGCCCATATTTCAAGAAAAAAACTCCCACCATTCAGCTCAAAGCAAAACTCGCGCTGAAAGTTGGTTTACCAGAGACGGAGGTGAAGACGCCGACGTATCCACCAGCCGTGATCCAGGAGGCGCCGCCGTCGACGGGTTGGCCCTTGAAGTCGCCGATGATGAGCAGCACGAGCGTGAGCTCGTAGAGGCCGAAGACCACCACGTTCACCACGGACAGCGTGAAGGCCGCCGCCAGCATGTACGTGTTGAAGAGCAAGAACGCCACCAGGAACCACGCCTCCGCGCCCGACACGTCGTAGTCTGCCGGCAACTGCGCGCACGGCGGAGGAAAAGGATTAGCCGAGTCATGCGTTAGGGAGAAAGCTGATGGAAATGCCCGAGAGAAACCCTTTTGCACCAAAATTCACAAGCATTTTGCGTGATAAGGAGAGCATGGGAGTGGAGTGCAAAGATTCCGTACCCATCCCCAGAGCTTGAAACAGTAGAAGAGGCCGAGCGAGAGCCAGAAGCAGCCGTAGGTGGAGAAGGAGGTGGAGGAGAAGACGCAGTTGCGCTTGTACTGCCACATGCCCGCCACGAACTGCCCCAACCCGCCGTAGAACAGCGCCACCGTCACCCACGTCACGTCCGGCGCCCACCCTGCAGGCAGACGAAGAAATGTCAGAGAATGAGCGAACAAACCTCCTCCAACAGTCGCGAATCTAGGGGAAATGAATGTTAGTTGGCAGGGAAGTGGGGCGTACCAGCAAGGTAGGACGAGAGGATGAACATGGTGCCCGCGAATGCTCCGAGCCCGAATGCCGACGCGTCGGCTGGCAGCGACTTCTCGACCACCACGCGCACGTCGTCGGGAAGGCCGTCCTCGATGCCCATGCTGGCACGGGGAGAGATCGTCCAAGTAGTAGCAAGTGAAGGGTCAGAAGAACGCTGCTCCAAGAATGCTGATCACGTGGGAGAAGAAGAAGCCTTGCGCGTTGGAAAGGCGGGTGGTTGAAGGGGGAACGAGGAAGAAAGCTTAGGAGACTCGAGATCGAGGAATGGGAGATATGGGGCAAATGCACGGGGATAAGTAGTGTTGCTCGTGGCTGGTGTGGAGTGGGCGATGGGCCGATGGTCGAAGGACTGGGACTGGGAGACGGGTGAGGGGCAATTTTTCGTTGTGCGGGTTTCCGTGCGCCGAGGGTCTCCGCAGTGAGGTGATGGTCGCAGCTGGGCATTGGTGTCGCGGAACGAGCAAAATGTGCGCGGAGCTGACATTGCGGTGCGTGGAACTCGTGCCGAAAGATCAAAACTTTGCTGACCTGCGATTTGCGGCTCGTCGAGGTGGCAGCCCCGTCAGCACAAAAGAGACCGATCTTTCTGCAGAAAGGACCCACATGGGAAGGGCTTATCTTCACGTGACCCACCAAAAGCGGATCTGGGTAAGGCAGATTTTGTTTTAATTGGTCCTTTGCTTGGCTCTTCATGACTCAGCAAGGCGGCTCATCGTGATAGCTGCAGACGATCAACACGTGATTGGCCACGTGATGACTCTTGAATATCTAATGCGCCGCACGTCCTGCCTCGCTGGAGACACCAGTGCTTATCTGATGACCAGCGCGCCTCGAAATTTCGTCTAGCTGGACCTCACACGCGCCTCGAAAGCCTTCCCAAACCTGCACGGATACTGGAAGGGGGAGTAATGGGGGGATCTCAAATTGGCTTCCGCTTCTCCCCGCGCGCCGAGAACACTTTTCCTCGTCGTCCTCCCCTCAACTTCCTTGCTCTCTTCTCGTCGCCACTGCATCCGTCGTTCAACTATAAACGCGTCACTTCCTTCTTCCCCCCACACCACACTTGTCTTTCTGCTCACTTGCCTCCCTCGCATGAACTATCATCTTCAGCTGCAAAATCAGCTTCTACATTCGCGCTTCACTCGTGGACGTTCCCCTTCGTCGCTTCAGCCAAACTCTCCTCCGTCCTCCGCTCGCCGTTCGCCTCTCGTCGCTCGTCGCTCGTCCATCTCTTTTCGTCGCTCTTCACTCGTCGCTCGTCGTTCGTGGTCGCCAGCATGGGTCTGGGCAGCGTGGACGCGGGGGTGCGCGTGGCGGTGGAGAAGGAGCTCGTGGCGGAGGTCGGCCCGCATGGGCTCTCCTCCTTCTTCGTCACCACATTCGTGCTCGCCGTGCACCTCACAAGTACGCACCGCGGCAGAGAATTTTGTAGACATTTTTTCTTCTTCTTATTTCAGAAGCTCGAAATTTTATAGACTGACCGCTTTCCGTTTTCCTGGCAGACTGGGCGCCGGACGTGATTTGGATCGGGCTGGCCGTGTTTTACGGCGGCGTGGGGCAGTTCGTGGCGGGCATGTGGGAGTTCAAGCGCGGCAACGTCTTCGTCGCCACCTCCTACTCCTCCTACGGCTGCTACTGGATGGGCGTCGCCATGCTCATGCTGCTCGACAAGCTCGGCCTCGTAAGCCCCCGCGCCCTCTTTCGCCGTTCCGCGTGTTCTCGGCTTCGCTTGTCGTCGCGACATTTCCTTGCCAAATCAGGCTCCCGCATTTCGCATTGCCTCTTTTAATGACGTCGTTTGTGTGCTTCCGCGCGTGCAGGCGCCCGCGGGGTTCGATTCGATGAAGGCGCTGGGGTGGTTTCTGTCGGCGTTTCTGGTGTTCAACACGTACATGACGTTCCTGACGCTGCTGCTGTCCAAGGTGGCGTTCCTCACCTTCTTCCTCCTCGAGCTCTTCTTCGTCTTCCTCGTCATCGGCTGCTTCCGCAACGACGCCCCCGGCCACGGCTGGACCGCCGCCTCCGGCTACGCGCTGCTCCTCACCTCCATCGCAGGTGAATTCTCTACGCCCACGAAATAGACATCGCGGGCGAAAACGTGCTGCAAAATGCTTCGCATGTTCACCGTTGCGCTTCTTAACTTCGTTCTTCGACATCTGCCTTCCCCCTCCTTCCTACTACCTAAATTAGTTCCCCCTCCCGTCCCTCCCCCCTCCCCAGCGCTCTACATGTCGGCGGCCTCGATGTTCAACACGCTTGCCAACCGCACCGTGCTGTGGGGCGGATCGCCCCTCCTCACCCTCTCCAAGGCCGAATAGACGCCGCCTTCTGTGCTCGCGCTTCGTCCAGCTGAGCTCGTGATGGTAGTCGAGATAGCATCGGAGAAGAGGGGGGCGAGTTTTGGTACTTGCTTTTGTGTTGCCGGGGTCTCGCCATTTTGGGGTGAGATCCTCGGAACTTCCTGGCCAGTTGTTTGCGATTTCTAGGTAGGTCGTCATTGGTGGAATCTTGACACGGTGGACTGGATGCACGCGAGTTGCTCTGATTGGCGAGAGGTTCACAATACGTTTTCGCAAGGGGGGCAACCTGCCCTTTTCCGCTGGTCGTTAAAAATTCTTTAGTAACACGTTTGCGAGAAGCCTAACCTTGAGGCGGGTACATCGCCACAGAGTGACCTGACTCTACATTCGTTTTTAAAAGGATGTATGAACAGCTTCATTACGTCATGCATTATTGCGCTCTATATTACAACCTATTTCCGTCATTCGTCGAATAATTTTATGTGCTAAATCGGAAAAAATTGTTTTGAATATTTTTTACAAATGTAATTCGACATGCGTTCTAAGTTGTTTGGAATAGTTTAAATTTCTGTAACGCATAACGGCGTTTCAAGACGTATCTATTTGTTATTGTAAGTCTTGTAGAGGTTTTCCTTATTTTGGTGAGTCTTTTATGGCAACGTAATTTTCTTGTTGTTGTATATAGTGACGGGTTTTTGTTGTTGCATTCTGCAGTGTTCTGTGCGTTATATTGACAGTGCGCTGCCCGCCACAGCACAGCCCAACTTTGGTTGGCTCGCGCCGCCCAACAAAATCTCGCGCGAAATATCCAGCAGTTTGGGTCGTACTTCCCGGCCCGTCACGCAACGGCCAGCGTGTCAAGTCAGGGCTAGCGTGTCAGAGCGTGAGTGGCCCAGTCAGCGAATGGCGAGAAGTTTCGATCAACAGGGGGGAGCGAGCAGCCCACTGATAGCTGTTGCTGCGTCCAATTATAATCCTGCGTAACGCTGTGTTATTGGTTGAAATGAATACTTAACCAGTATTGCAAAGCCACGTCGTATGGACCCATGATGGCATTTTTCTGCGCTAGTTCTGCGCTAGCACTCGAATTCTCACCACCTTCTCCAACCCCGTCTTGCTTTCAGTGTTGGGTCAAGCCTTCCTAAGCTGACTCTGGTACAAGGAAAGAGGCGTTCTAGGAAGCTGCACGTTAGACGAATTTGCCACCAGTGGCGACTCCTGTACGTCCCAATTCTGGTTTAGTAACTCGTACTCCAGCCGCTCCTAATGCGCCACTTTAATTTCCAGCCGAGATGTACTTAAGGTATGTAGGACGTTTTCTGAGCAGATTCGTTTCCTATTTACATGTCTATTTCTAAATACAGCTTGTCATCCGTAGGCAATAACACATGTTTAATTAGATTCCCGTCTCATTTCCTCCATTAGGACAATGTAGTGTCCAGCCTAGATGGTTCTTCAAGCGAAGATGACCCTTCTCTTATAGGTTACCCCTTGACATTCCTCAAAAGGCCTCGTTAATTGATTGCTGGCGCTCCAAGCTCCTAGCATGGATTTAGGTCGTGCTCTGATCCTACTCACCTGGTCGCTACTCCTAGTTGTACACAGCCATTCCTCGGTAGTAGGATTGGTGCGTATGGCTGGAGTTAGGAATCTCCCCATCGCTTGTGGTGAACCGGGTTGCATTGAGAGGTTCTCCTGTCCTAACGAGAGACTGCTGCACCGCCGACAGAAAATACATACGTTTCCAGAGCAACCAGCAGGGCAACAAGCACCTAGCTTCCGCGATCTAGAGGCTTTACAAGAGGTAATAGAGCAGACAACAGCTGATCGTCGCACCAAGCGTAGAGCTAGTAGTGTGCCTAATGAAGGGGACTGTATTCCCGATGGACCATGTCCTTCGGGAGATTCACGCCCCAACATGGACGCGAGTGGATGCGGGGTGGCGCACGAGAAGAGCCTGAAGAAAACGTCCACAGATAAGCGCTTTTTTGTATTTTGCAAAAAAACAGCAGGAGGCATGGGGTTATCTCGGCCAGAAATTGCAGAGCTGGTAGATATTATGAAGAGCAGTCAGTTAGATCCTTGCACTTTCGAATCAATGGCGGACGTTGACCGTTTTGAGGAGAAGGAAGCTGGTGGTGTGGTGATGGAGAAATTCAGGGATAGCGATCTAGCATCTCCCTCAGATCGGAAGCCGATCATGCTGCGATGGCGTTCCTTGTGGTCTTGCGCCAAGAATTTATACAGCAATCCGGCAAATGCAGTAGACTTTATTGCGCACCCTCAACCATTAGTTGCAGAAGCGGATAGGGTGTACCGAGATCCTGATAGTGGTACCTGGTGGTGGTTTGCACAGCAAGATCTGCCGGAGGGTGCATCTATTGTAGCTCTAATTGTGTACTCTGATGAAACCAACCTCTCGAAAGATGGATCAGTTACCGGTTGGCCAGTGTATGTGTCGCTGGCCAACATTTCATCTGGAAATCGCTGGAAACCACATGGAAGGCGCCTTGTAGCTCTGCTACCGAAGGTGACTGAAGACATGCTTGCCCCTGGTAGCTGCATCGTCCGAAGACGCATGGAGATCTTTCAACAGGCTCTGGACATGATTATGGGAGACTGCATGGCAGCTGCAGACAAGGGAGAACCAGTGCTTGACCCATACGGCATTCGACGCATGGCATATCCATTGTTGTATGCATATGTTGGAGACTACCCGGAACAGTGCAAGGTTGCAGGAACCAAGTCTGGACACTCAACCAATTTTCCCTGCCCTCGCTGCATGGTGCACCGGAAGCAGCTGGCAAAGACAGAAATGCGGGCACAGCGAACGGTGGCAGCACAGAAGCACACATGGATGGAAATGGGGTGCCTTCGTCAACCTACTGATCTCCTGAGGCTCGAAACAGCCAACAGTCAACACCATGTGCAGGTGAGTTACGGGTGGGGATGGAAAGGGGGAACGGGGTGAAGGGATGCGAGGAGAGGGAAGGTGGGATGGGCAGAGAGGGATGGAGGAATGGGCAGAGAGGGATGGAGGGATGGGCAGAGAGGGATGAAGGGACGGGCAGGGAGGGATGAAGGGACGGGCAGGGAGGGATGCAGTGACGGGCAGGGAGGAATGAAGGGACGGGCAGGGAGGAATGCAGTGACGGGCAGGGAGGGATTAAGGGACGGGCAGGGAGGGATGAAAGGATGGGCAGGGAGGGATGAAGGGACGGGCAGGGAGGGATGAAGGGACGGGCAGGGAGGGATGCAGTGACGGGCAGGGAGGAATGAAGGGACGGGCAGGGAGGGATGAAAGGATGGGCAGGGAGGGATGAAGGGACGGGCAGGGAGGGATGAAGGGACGGGCAGGGAGGGATGCAGTGACGGGCAGGGAGGAATGAAGGGACGGGCAGGGAGGAATGCAGTGACGGGCAGGGAGGGATGAAGGGACAGGCAGGGAGGGATGAAGGGATGGGCAGGGAGAGATGAAGGGACGGGCAGGGAGGGATGAAGGGACGGGCAGGGAGGGATGGAAAGATGAGAAGGGAGGCAAGGAGCGATGGGGAGAGAGGGATGGAGGGACGGGGGGAGGGCAAAAAGGGATGAAGGGATGGGCAGATGGGATGAGAGAGAATGAGGGATGGGGAGGGAGGGATAAAGTGGCAGGAAGGGCAGAATGAGGGGACGGGCAGGGAGGGATGAAGGGACGGGCAGGGAGGGATGAAAGGATGGGCAGGGAGGGATGAAGGGACGGGCAGGGAGGGATGAAGGAACGGGCAGGGAGGGATGCAGTGATGGGCAGTGAGGGATAAAGGGACGGGCAGGGAGGGATGCAGTGACGGGCAGGGAGGGATGAAGGGACGGGCAGGGAGGGATGAAGGGACAGGCAGGGAGGGATGAAGGAACGGGCAGGGAGGGATGCAGTGATGGGCAGGGAGGGATAAAGGGACGGGCAGGGAGGGATGCAGTGACGGGCAGGGAGGGATGCAGTGACGGGCAGGGAGGAATGAAGGGACGGGCAGGGAGGAATGCAGTGACGGGCAGGGAGGGATTAAGGGACGGGCAGGGAGGGATGAAAGGATGGGCAGGGAGGGATGAAGGGACGGGCAGGGAGGGATGAAGGGACGGGCAGGGAGGGATGCAGTGACGGGCAGGGAGGAATGAAGGGACGGGCAGGGAGGAATGCAATGACGGGCAGGGAGGGATTAAGGGACGGGCAGGGAGGGATGAAAGGATGGGCAGGGAGGGATGCAGTGACGGGCAGGGAGGAATGAAGGGACGGGCAGGGAGGAATGCAGTGACGGGCAGGGAGGGATGAAGGGACAGGCAGGGAGGGATGAAGGGATGGGCAGGGAGAGATGAAGGGACGGGCAGGGAGGGATGAAGGGACGGGCAGGGAGGGATGGAAAGATGAGAAGGGAGGCAAGGAGCGATGGGGAGAGAGGGATGGAGGGACGGGGGGGAGGGCAAAAAGGGATGAAAGGATGGGCAGATGGGATGAGAGAGAATGAGGGATGGGGAGGGAGGGATAAAGTGGCAGGAAGGGCAGAATGAGGGGACGGGCAGGGAGGGATGAAGGGACGGGCAGGGAGGGATGAAAGGATGGGCAGGGAGGGATGAAGGGACGGGCAGGGAGGGATGAAGGAACGGGCAGGGAGGGATGCAGTGATGGGCAGTGAGGGATAAAGGGACGGGCAGGGAGGGATGCAGTGACGGGCAGGGAGGGATGAAGGGACGGGCAGGGAGGGATGAAGGGACAGGCAGGGAGGGATGAAGGAACGGGCAGGGAGGGATGCAGTGATGGGCAGGGAGGGATAAAGGGACGGGCAGGGAGGGATGCAGTGACGGGCAGGGAGGGATGAAGGGACGGGCAGGGAGGGATGAAGGAACGGGCAGGGAGGGATGCAGTGATGGGCAGTGAGGGATAAAGGGACGGGCAGGGAGGGATGCAGTGACGGGCAGGGAGGGATGAAGGGACGGGCAGGGAGGGATGAAGGGACAGGCAGGGAGGGATGAAGGAACGGGCAGGGAGGGATGCAGTGATGGGCAGGGAGGGATAAAGGGACGGGCAGGGAGGGATGCAGTGACGGGCAGGGAGGGATGAAGGGACGGGCAGGGAGGGATGAAGGGACGGGCAGGGAGGATAGAATGGGCAGAGAGGCATGGACGAATTGGCAGAGAACGCTGTTTCTTTTTTGAACTCGGATATGTGGGATTTGGTGGGTACAAGAATGAGAGTGCCAATACTTTTCTACTTCCCGTAATTCCCCCAAACAGGTGTGGCTCTGGAAATTTCCACAAGGAAACACCGAATGGGGCAACCCTTACCGCGCTTTGATGTGCGACGTGATGCACATGTCCCCACTTGGAGTGTTTAAACACATGGTAGATTCTCTCCGAAACATCCTCAAGGGGGGTAGGGGGGAAGTTGACAAGCGGCCACTGTTCGACGATGCACTTTGTCGCATTACCGAGTACAGTAGACAATCGTTTTTCCGCCTACCAGGGAAGGGGAAGAGGTATTTCGCTAATGTTGGCACATTTTATGCATTCGAACATCAAGCAGTGATGCAGGTTCTGCCTGTGCTCCTTCAACAGATGGGGGCTAAAAAGGAGTTGGTAGAGACTGTTTCGATGTATGTCTACTGGCACTCGGAGGTGTGGCTGCGACCCTATCATACAGAGGCGACGCTGATACACCTCACGTCCCTCACAGGATTGTAAGTGCACATTTGTGATGTGATTAGTAGTAAGGCATCATTATCTTGAAGTCTACTAGACACCGGTGTGCATCCCACCACTCCTCTTTCCATCACTTTCATACCACGTACAAGCCCAAGGGTCCGATCATTGCAAACTCATGATCGTGTTCTTTGCAAGTAGGTTCCATGGCATTTCCCTATATCGCTCCCACCCCAGGCTGATCCCTCTCCTTATCACGCACTTTGGAGCCGGTCAAAAGTCGGAATTCATGATTCCAAAAGTGCACGCGATGGTGCATGTTCCAGAGGATATCCGTCGTGGTGGTTTGCCAGTGCACTACTGCACCGACTTTTACGAGCATCTTCACATTTCCATGATGAAGAGACCATATCGTGGGAGCAACAAGAAGAATTATGAGGAGCACATCACACGTCGCGCTCTGGTTGGCGAGCTCGTAGATGCAATAACTAGGGACGATGAGGACAAGGAGGATGCGGAAGTCCGAGCTGTTGCTCTACGTGTGGTGAGTTTGCCAATGGCTGTCCTCTCTGCCCATCCCTTCATCCCTCTAATCCCATCCCTTCATCCCCACCATCCCCATCCCTTCATCCCTCTCATTCCATCCCTTGTTCCCTCTTATCCCAACCCTTCATCCCTCTCCCACCATCCTCTTATCCCTACCATCCCCACCCTTCATCCCTCTGATCCCATCCCTTCATCCCCACCATCCCCATCCCTTCATCCCTCTCATTCCATCCCTTGTTCCCTCTTATCCCAACCCTTCATCCCTCTCCCACCATCCTCTTATCCCTACCATCCCCACCCTTCATCCCTCTGATCCCATCCTCTTATCCCCACCATCCCCACCCTTTGTCCCTCTCATCCCATCCCTTGTTCCCTCTTATCCCAACCCTTCATCCCTCTCCCACCATCCTCTTATCCCTACCATCCCCACCCTTCGTCCCTCTGATCCCATCCTCTTATCCCCACCATCCCCACCCTTTGTCCCTCTCATCCCATCCCTTGTTCCCTCTTATCCCAACCCTTCATCCCTCTCCCACCATCCTCTTATCCCTACCATCCCCACCCTTCGTCCCTCTGATCCCATCCTCTTATCCCCACCATCCCCACCCTTTGTCCCTCTCATCCCATCCCTTGTTCCCTCTTATCCCAACCCTTCATCCCTCTCCCACCATCCTCTTATCCCTACCATCCCCACCCTTCATCCCTCCCTGCCCGTCCCTTCATCCCTCCCTGCCCGTCCCCTCATTCTGCCCTTCCTGCCACTTTATCCCTCCCTCCCCATCCCTCATTCTCTCTCATCCCATCTGCCCATCCCTTCATCCCTTTTTGCCCTCCCCCCCTTCCCTCTCATCCCATCTCTTGATCCCTCCCTTCCCATCCCTCCATCCCTCTCTCCCCATCGCTCCTTTCCTCCTTCTCATCCTTCCATCCCTCTCTGCCCATCCCTTCATTCCTCTCTGCCCATTCCCCTGCCCCTCTCTCTCCATCCCTTCATCCCTCCCTTCCCATCCCTTCATCCCTCTCTCTGCCCATCCCTCCTTCCCTCTTGATCTGCAGATTCGTCACAAGTTGCGCAATCCGAACATGGCACGCGTTCAGCTAGAAAGGTCTGGAGATCCTGATGCCCTCGGAAGGCAGGAGCGCGTCGTTCAGCGCCTGCTCAACCGGTTCCAGGCCACCAAGTACAACGGCAACAACTACTTCATCGGCAAGCTGTACCTCATGGATTGGGTGGATGTCCCAGAGAACATCCTGGCCCTTGATTTCGTGGGGGACCGTGACGTAGATGATGTGGTTGAAGGCGACCTGAATGGAGAGGGTGTGGAGGTTATTTTCTGAAGGGAGCGATGGGGCAGGTGGAGAAGGTCATGTTGCATCTGGATGTGCTTCATGATCAGGGATGTGATTCAGAAGTGCTGCTGTTTTGGAAGTTGATTACGGTTTGTCTTTCATGTTGGATGAGGAGGTATTGTTGAGGGTTGTTTTTCATTGCCAATAATATCTGTTATGGTTTGCGGGTTTAATAATGAATGGAATAATAACGACCTAAACCCTGAGTAATACAATTTTTCAAATCGAGCTATATAAATATTGTCAAAAATTTATTCAGTTATATATATCAAATATACGTACAACATAAGTGTTTAATTTACTGTCCAGAGATTACAACTCGTGGCACAAAAGATGTCCATTGCAGCGAAAGTCTAATAACAAAATTGGCGAGTCGAAGCAATACGATCGCAACTCTCCTTCGACGTGCACACCGAACCCCAATTTCCGAACCGAATTGCTCGACGCGATTCGGTTTGGTTGGGAATGTTGCGGGAAAGACGAAGACGTTCTTGAGGACGACTCGCCAATTCCCAGACAACCCCCTCCGAAGCAAGGGACTTTCCCCCAACACACCTTCGACTTGAAAAACCTTTCCCCCCCTTCTCTATCTGAGATAGGTACTCCGGGCTGCGTACCCCATAGACATCGACGAGGTGGTGCATTTGCTGGTGCTAGTTTGTACGTTGACATGTATACTTCCAAATAAGCTGATGTATAAGTACATTACAATTAAAGCACTAAGTCTAAATGAAAATATAGGATGGCTGGTGTGAACTAACGGAAATGTCCGAAATGACAAGAAACGTGTGCTTGGTAGTGTGTAGGATGGTCCTATGATCATTTTATTGTATGTCTTCTCTCTAATTTTGAATAGACTGCGATTGTGAACTGCTATTGCGATTGTGATATGTCCTGGACGGTTTATAAGAGACACAATCAGCCCCCCAGTTATCAGGCTTTTTACCCTAATTTTGTTTTTTTTCAGGCTGTCGTAATGTACCAACTCTGATGTGAAAGTTTTTTTCTACTGGGTTATCCTGAATTTTCAGCGTTCTTTTTGTATGAGACTCTGATTTTTCAGAGTGTTTTTTCATGTGCACTCTGTTGGCTCAGCGCTGAATGGGGTATCTGTTAAGTTATATTTTATATAACTTTAGGCTTGGTAGTTATGCTACTAATTGCATTCTACTGTAGGGGAGACAACCCCCTTCTTGTACTTTATTCTCTTCTACTCTACCTCCTCTCTCGTCAATCTTCCTAGCTAAACCTCGGCCGCCACTTCATGGCGGCCTTCTCCTTTCTTGCTAGCTCACTTCACAACATGGTTTCAGAGCAGGCCGTCCGTCCCGGGCCTGCTCACTTCGTTGCCGCTGCGCACTCCTGCTCCGTTTGCCGCCGTCGCGGCTTTCTGCCTGCCTGCCGCCGTGGCATCAAGATGTCGCGGCGGCCACTTGATGCTGCCCTCCCAACTTCGACACGCAGCTGCGGCTCCGACGCCACGCTGCTGCGGCGTCCTTCTGGTGCCGCGGCGGTGTCATCGAGCTGCAGCCGCCGAGTTTCACATCCGCAGCTATTGGACGTGCAGCGCGTCCGCCCGCAGTAAGCGCCGCGCTGAAGTCCTGCAGCCCCACCACAGCAGCCCCACCGCCTCTCCCTCCCCTGCGTCTCCTCCTGCTCCTGCCGCAGCTGCTGTCTTCGGCTCGGTCGTCGCCAGCCCGTGCCACACCGCCAAGAGCCCTCAGCCGCCGCAGTCGCCGCCTGTCCTCATTGACTCAGCCGCCTTGAGCACGAGCTCCGCCGCTGCCGTCATTGAGGCCGCCCAGATGCGGCCAGCTGCCTCTCGTCCGGGGGTGTCATCGCCTAGCACGAGGGGTCGATACCCGGCTGCTCACGAGAATGAGGGTGTCCAAGGTTAGGGGGTGTGTGTGTGGGTTGAGTGGGCTTGCCACTACCAAGCCTAGGGGGTGTGTTAAGTTATATTTTATATCACTTTAGGCTTGGTAGTTATGCTACTAACTGCATTCTACTGTAGGGGGGACAACCCCCTTCTTGTACTTCATTCTCTTCTAGTCTACCTCTCTTCTCTCTCGTCAATCTTCCTAGCTAAACCTCGGCCGCCATTTCATGGCGGCCTTCTCCTTTCTTGCTAGCTCACTTCACAACAGTATCGACACTGAAACAAACTCCCTTGAGTTACTGACATTTCCCCTGACGCGGCGGTTTTCCCATCCCTCACCCCGTCAAATCACGGCATTGATTGTACAGCGCACTGGGGTCGCGTCGCGAGGCATCTTGAATGCTGTCGCGCTGTCGACAGCTTGCACTTGCGAGGAATGCCTATTGGTCATTGACGAAATTTTGGGCCACAGTCCAAACTGTGGAACCTGCCACCTCAAACCCTAGCATCACTGTCTTGCGCCTCGGTAGATTCCCCACTTCCATTCCAACCCAGGAAACCTCGATGCGCCCCGTCATGGGAAACATGCCCCCAAATTGGTTTTGGGGCTGTCTGATTCGTCAGACTCGCCTGCCATCCCTTGATATGGCCATCAGAGTGTTAGAATGCAAGAATGATTGACTAGTGTGAGAAACCTAGAACATATACCTGTTGGGGTTGTACTCATTAGAAGCACACACCTAGGCTAGCCTATAACTTCTATATACAACATATGTATAAGTTGACACACCCCCTAGGCTAGAGGAGGGGTGATGTTAAGCAAGAAGCATACAGCTCAGGGTGGCACTACTAGTCCAACCACTGAGGTAGGGGTCCGGAGACCAGTCAGCAAGAGTACAAACAAGACTAAAGCAAGCCAGGGCGGCACTACTAGTCCAGCCACTGGAGGTAAGGCCACAAGGCCAGTCAGACAGGTATATATACTAGCGAGTACACAATCAGGGTCCTAACAAGTGAGAAGCTACAGGAACAAGGCCAAGCTGTACACAGTGCCGCTGATGATCCTTAGGCGCAAGCACCTTAGTAAAGATATCAGCTGTGTTGGCACCGGAGACCAAGTGAACTACGCGGGCCTGGCGACGATGCTGTAGCTCGCGCTGGAGGAAGTACCGCAGCTGGATATGCTTCGCTCTGCCCTCAAGTCGAGGCTCCTGACACAGGAGAATCATGGCCCTGTTGTCAGCGTACAGAACCGGGGCAGAGGTAGGCCGCTCACCTAAGTCACTGAGCAAGGTCAGCCAGCAGAGCTCCTGTGCCGCCATGGCACCGGCGTAGATCTCAGCCTCATAGCTGGACTGAGCAGCAGACGACGAGCGAGTGCATTTCCAAGAGATAGCACCCGACCCAAGGCTAAAACAGTAGCCCTGAGACGACCTGAGAGTCTCAGAGTCGTCTGCCCAAGAAGCGTCTGTGTGCCCAATGAGGACCACTGGCATGCGTCCTCCAAGCACTAACCCCATGCCCGATGTACTTGCTAGATATCGCAAAACCCTCTTAGCGGCCGACCAGTGCTGTGGTCGGTGTCTGCCTGTGGCCACAAAGCGAGCCAGGATGCTGAGAGGGTATGCAAGATCTGGGCGAGTGCAAGTCATCAGGTACATGAGGCAACCCACCAGCTCTGCGTAGGGGCCACTGGACTCTACTGGCTCCGCAGGAACGGGAGCGGAGATCCCATGGTCTACAGGTAGAGGTGTGGGCCGTAGACAGGAAGGGGAGGAGGTGGCGGGGGAGACGCCGGCGAGCGGTCAGGGGAGGGAAGGCCGAGCAGGCGAAGAGCGGAGACCGGCGGCGACGGCTGCGACAGCTGCTGCGGCTGCTGGTGCTCGACCCTTGGACCGGCAGGGGCAATACGACCGCCGGGAGAACACTCACCGGCAGCACCCCCAGAACCAACACCCCTAGAGCGAGAACCACCTCCAGCACTAGCGGCACCCCCAGGCCCGCAGGGACAGACCACGCCAGGAGCCGCAGGACGAACACCCTCCTCAACGCCAGCACCCCCAGGGGCCAACAGCGGGAGCGGCGGCGGCGGCGGCAGCGACGGTGGCGGCAGCGGCGACTGCGACAGCGAGGGCGGAGTCACCGGGGAAGGGGGACGCGGCAAGGACAAGCCAGGGGGACCACCAGAGTCAGCAGACTCCTCAATAGGGACAACCGACGGGAGGGGAGTGAACTGAGAGACACCAGACATGGCAGGACAAGGCGACAGGGGAGGAGGGGTTACTGGGGGAGAGGGAGCAAGAAACAGGGGGGGGGGGAAACCGGGAGACCTCGGTGAGGGAAGCGACGGTAGAAGGAGACAGACTCGTCAAAGGTGACGTTACGAGAGTGAAGGAAGCGGTGAGACAGCGAGTGGTAGAAGAGCCAGTCAGACGAGTCCAGGGGGAAACTGAGGAAGGCACACGGGACAGTGCGGGCAGTGAGCTTGTCCGTGCCAGAGGCAGGAACGTGAGCAAGGCAACCCCAGGCGTGGAACGCAGACGCATCACCGGGGGACCCGATCCAAAGGACGGTCGGCGAAACCTGCGACCGCTGGGAGCATGTCCACAAGTTGAGCTGGTGAGCAGCGTAGCGAACAACGAACGGCCACAGAAAATGGGGGGCATCGGCATAAATCATGGAGGTACGAGCCACCTCCATGACCAAGGCGATGCGGCGCTCAGCAACCCCATTCTGCTGTGGCGAGTCCGGCAAGGTGTACGACTGGGTGATGCCCTCCGCATGACAGAACTGGCCAAGCCGACCAGAGGCGAACTCGCCGCCACGGTCGGAGTGGAGACACAACACGGGGAGACCGCAGTGAAGACGCGCAGGCACAACCCACAGTAGAAGAACGTCAGGCACGTCGGCCTTCCGCTCCAGGGAAAACACCGTGGTGTAGCGCGTGTAGTCGTTGACGAGCACAAGGAAGTAGCGCTCGCCGCGCAGTCCGGGGACGGGGGCCGGGCCCCAAACGTCCAGGTGCAGGGTCTGAAGGGGAGCAGTAGCAGGGCGAAGCGAGGAGGAGTGAGGGGCACAGCGGAGCAGGCCCTCGACGCAAGGCGTGCACGGTGGAGCAGACGAGGGGGGAAGGGCGGGGAGCGACATGCTGGGTCATGTGACGCAGACGCGGGAGAGCAGGGTGACCTAAGCGGTGGTGCCACAAAAGGGACGGGTGAGTGAGGGACCGACACGAGCAAGCTGCAGCGACCTGGGAGTACGCAACCACCGGGGGGGAAGCGGTGTCGAGG